GTTATGGTGTTCTTTACATTTAACTGTTAGTTTTTGTTGTTACTTGTTGTTCTCCGCAGTATGTTTCCCCCTTCCTATCTTTAATTGTAAAGTTTGCCTTTGTTTTCCGCTGTACATGATTTAACTGCACAGGTTTATTTGGTAGTCTGGTCCTAGCCTCGTCATGACCTCGTCGATGTTAGGCTAGGCACTTACTAGCACATGGGGTCGGTTGTGCTGATACTACACTCTGCATTCTTTTGTGCAGATCCCGGTGCTGTAGCTTTCGGACCGCAGTGAGGTTGCTTCCTTCATCCCAACAGGCGACCCGAGGTAGTCCTGCAGGTGTCCGCAGGCCTTGGCGTCTCTTTCTATCTTTCCATTCTGTTTCTTCACGTATTCCAGAGACAGTGTTGTACTAAATCTTTCGGACCTTTATTTATAGTACTCTTAGACCGTCTGTGATATTGTGACACCAGTTCTGGGTAGTCTACGCTTAAGGAATTGTATTTGTAACCTTTAAATGGTTATATTTTGTTCTTCCGCTTATTAAATTCTGCTGTTTATATTATGATGGTTCTTAATTGTTAAAGGATTTAAAATAGGTAAAAGGTAAATAATACAAATGGTTGGCTTGCCTAGCTTTCACTAGTAGGCACCATCACGACTCCCGAGGGTGGGAAATCTGGGTCGTGACACAAGAACACGCTAGAATAAAGACTAAGGATTCAACTCCATATTTTTTACTCGTTCTTCCCATTTTTTCATTGTTATGAATTCTAGTATTGTACTTTTACATACTATCATGCGTAGCTAAACTTCTAATCTACAGTTTCATGTAACCTATTGGAGGATGACTTTTTGTTACATTTAATATAATTTTACCGCTGAATTTTCTCTATTGTTCAACTATGTGATTATCTTTATTTGAGTAGGAATGTGTCTATTGCGTCATTCGGGAGTTGAATGAAAAATTTAATGCCATTCCGAGTTGTTTAGGCATATTCGCGTAAGATTGAATTTGAAAATTTGGATTAGTTACTTAGACTTGAATTGTAAGGTTCATGATTTTGATGTTGGTTTGTGTGATCTGAGGCCACGAGTCCATATTATGTTATGGGATTGGTTTGTGTTTATTGGACGGGGTCCCAGGAGCCTCGGGTGTGTTTCGGGTGAGTTTCAGATTATTTTCCCCTTGTTTTGGACTGCTAATACTAGTGTCTAATTTTCTTCATGACTAGGCATTCGCGTTCACGGAGGGTATTTCAGTGGCAGGTGGTGTTTACTCTTCGCGTTTGTGATCGGGTGGTCGCATTCGCGGAGCATGAGGGGCAGTAGCCTTCGCGTTCGCGGGTTGGGAGCCGCATTCTCATAGAAGGGGAGACCGGTTGGGTGCGTCAGGCCTTTAGCCTTCGCGTCCACCTATGAAGGACCGTGTTCGCGTGTGCTCAGTAGTGCTAGGCATCATGTTCACAACCAGGCCTCGTGATTGCGTAAGGTCTTCAGAGGCTGTTTCTTATTTGTTCTTCGAGATCACGACGTAGGTCCCGCGATCGTGAACGGTATCACTGGACAGAATCATTTAAGTACTGTATTTCGAGTTTTTTGGTTATTTTATCACATTTTGAGATATAGAGCTCAGATTTGGGCGATTTTGGAGAGAATTTTTTCGATTAGAATTGGGGTAAGTTTTTTTTTACTCGGATTTATTTATTATTCATGATTCCAACCGTTATTATAGCGTTTCAATGGTGAATCTGAGCGAAGAAATTGGATATTTTTGTAAGAATTCTAAAATAAAAATTGATGATTTGAGGGACCATTTGAAGTCAGATTTGGATAAAACACATATATTTGGACTCGTATGGGAATGAATATTCGAAATTTGTGATTTTGTCGAATTTCGGGGTGCATGTCCGAGGTTGACTTTTCGGTTGATATTTTTTATTTAGTTTAAGATCAAAACTTTGATGTATAGGGTTATTTTCTATGACTTATATTGATATTATTAAGTCATTTTGGATAGATTCGAGCCGTTCGAAGGTTGATTCATGCGGGAAGGGCTTTCTTGAGTACTAGTTTAGCTTGTTTGAGGTAAGTATCTTACCTAAATTTGGTTGAAGCACTAGTTACCTAAATTATTTGTAATAGTTACGTGCTATGGATGGCGCACATGTGTGGGGTTGAGCCCGTGTTCTTGCACTGGGATATTATTCATGCTCGAGGTAGTGCTTAAGCTATGATGCCTTGTATTGATTGCTAAGCTTCATGATGTTATGTTTTTAATATTTTTACCCTTTTTTGTGAGTTATTTGAGAGGTTAATCTCCTAATTGAACCTGATAATTGCTATTTCGTGATGTAATTGCCTGATTCAAGCTGTGGTAACACACTTCGGTCATGCATACACCTTAGCATGTTATTATAGTCCATGAGTTTGAAATTTGAAATCCATTGTTCATGCACATATATTCTTATATATTTGCTTCCTGTGTGATATGGTTTGGACTGGTAGCACGTGAATATGTCATGCGGATGATATTTATAGCACGTGAGTTATCTGTGCAGCGTGTGGATAATGATTCATCCCCCTAGGATCACCCTCTCATGTTTCTCTCTTGATGGTGTACAGCGTATTGGGCTCGCCTAATAGTACTTTATGCAATTGTATGTAACTAACCTTATAAATCCTCACATTTTCTTAGTAAATCGGTGACTATTCAAAAGTACTTTTTTCTTAATCAAAAATCATTAAGTTGAGAGTATCTTATGTCATAATTAAGATATAAATTATTGCACGTTATCCACTAAGACTGCTATGATAGTTAATTTTTAATAAATCTTTCATTTATAAAGTATATTTATTAACTTTTATTATTTCTTTACTATATAATAGTCCATAAGTTTTTTTTATAATTATTTTTCTAAATACTATTTTTTTCACGTTTGCGAGATACAATACTTATTAATTTAGTAGCTCAGTATTAGCTAGTTAACATTTACAAATAATTAGTTATCACGGTATTGTATGGTGAATTATGTGTCACTTTATTAACTTGTTGAAACTTAAAACTAAATCATGCTAAAGAATCATATTTAAATTTTGAATTATGTTTTTATATAAATTCGCTTTCAAATAGAAAGCATATTAAATAAAAGGAGTATTTTAAGAAAAATATCAAATTATAATATCGAAATTCTTTCAAGATTCATTACTCCTTAAGAGATACATATAAGATTTCATATCGAATACATTACTTTTGATGTTTGAGTTGTAACGATGTTGCAACTAATTTGCATATTATGATATATGTCATACTTTTCGTATTATTCATAGTTGAATTATAAATATTTTAAATAGATTTTTCGTTATAATTTTGTGATTTCAAAGTAAGTTATAATTATTTTTTATTTTATACTATTTTAAAATTCTTGAAATTAGTAAAATTTAAAGATCCGTGGGACTTACGCCCCATGTCTCAGGGCTTACGCCTCGCCTCGTCAGAGGTAAAACACCCTGCCTCACGCCCCGCCTTTTAAAACATTGACTCATACTACACTCTGCACTTAATCGTGTAGATCCAAGTATTGGACCGAGCAATCAGTAGTTGAGACTGGGTTTATCTTTTGAGAGACGAGGTAGAGATGCATCTCGACCGCAGTCTTGGCGTCTCCTTTTATTTTGGTACTGTTATTTTCATTCAGACAGTATTATTCTTTTTGTAGTCCAGACTTGTACTTCTGATTAGAGCTCATGACATTGTATTACCAGATTTGGGGAATTTGTTATGTATCGACTCTTCTATTTATGTTATGGCCTTAGACTTTGTACTATTTCTGTTAATTCAGTATTTATGTTTTGCTTTCGTTATGCTTGGCTTGCCTTGCAGGTGAGTAAGGCGTCATCACGACTGGCTGCTTGTTTTGGATCGTGTCACTTTGTTTGAGTATGTATATTCAACGGTATACCTAATATTATTGGTATGGTACACATTGATATATTATGATTACTTGAATCATGGTATTCTTGGTATACTACACATTGGCATAGCATGATTAATGTAGTATACAAAATTTTAGAATTTGTCGATTTAACTATAAAGAAAAAAAAAGGTACAAAGAATGATAAATTCTTTATTATCGAAAAAATTTAAACTTTCTTAGAAAATTTGAAAAAGTCATCTACAAATATAAAATAAATAAAATTTAAAAAGAACTAGAAAAGAGTAACATGATAACTTTCGATAATTATAATTGATTAATAATTATGTAGATATTATACTAATACATAATCATAGGACTCGATTATTTATATGGAAAGAACAAAAACAAATACAAAAGTGAAAGAAAGTGATAAAAAATTTAGCGAAAAAGTTTCACTAAAAAATAACAGGAAAAGCTAAGATAAAAATAATAATAAAAAGTGAGAAAATGACAAATATTTTACACGAAGTAATTACTGGAAAGAATACAACAAAAAACAATAAACAAAAAGTAAGAAAGAAAGTAAAAAAGAGTGAGGGATTATCACTCGAAAGAACAAAATAATTATAAATAAAGAAAATAACAATAAATAAAGAAAATTAAAAGAAAAAAACTAAAATGAGTGCATAATTTTATTGCAAAAAAAATAAAGTAAAAAACCAACAATAAAATAAAAATAAAACAATGTAAACAAAGTGACAAATATTTTGGACAGAGAGATTTTACTAATAGTACAAAATTAAGAAAATAAAAAATATAGCGAAAAATCATAAAAATTAAGACCAAAAATATAAATAAAAACTGTAAGAGATTGTTAATAGAAAGAACAGAAAGGAAAAAAATAACTATAAAAAACTAAACAATAGTGCAATATTTTCAAAGAAAGAAAAAAGAAAATTAAAAAATAACAAAAAAGGAAAAAAATAATAAAAAAAGAAAAAGAAATAAAAGGTGAATAAACAAAAAAACATGAGATAACTTAGGTGGAGCTTGGCCATATGAAGGGAAAGGGCATCCAAGTAATAAAATCTTCAAAAGGGACATATTATGTTATTTTTATAAAAGAAAGCATTTTGGTCATAAAGTTTTTAAAAGGAGTTCTTAGTGTTTTTTTTTTCAATATATAATTGTGCCTAGATAATACAAAATGTTAATGCCTAGATATTTTACAATTTCCTTAAAATAATGCGAAAACATGCACCTACTACTTATTGGAAAATAAAATTCTTTTTCGAACATCATATATCATAACTTATGCTTCCTAAAGAACCTTGCGACCCTTCTGATTTGGCGGATTAAAGACCCCACAATTTTTCCTAATTTCTCCAGCGCGTCCTACGAGAATATCAATACTTGCCATTTTTATCATTGCATTTGCAAAACTCTGTCTGAATGTATTCTCATTGGAAGCAAAACCTGAAACAATTGAAGCACTAGACTTATCCAAGGTAAGCTCTTGATCAATCTTCAGAATGCCTTTTTTTAACATGATTTGTCTAAAGAATTGGTTGTCAACTGTGAAAGATGTATTCTGATCCAAAAACGTCGTTGCGGTACTTTTCGAACAAGTTTTCAAGAGTTGGGCAGCCAAAGTAGGATCCATGGTGTTATCAGGTACTGGAGAAAGCCTATTTTGAAAAAAATTACAGTGTGCAACTCCGACAGTGTGAGCTCCTAATAAGGTCACCATATCATTTAAGGACAACCCTTTGTTTGTGAACGATTGGAGGGCTTGTGGAACTGTAAATGATGGACCTGGCAAGTTTACATCTGCTGCATTTGAAACCAGGCCATCTCGCCTTCCAGTTGCGATGTCATAGGTAGGACCTCCAGCTAGCGCTACTGCATCCCGGGTTGCTAGTGTTATTATGTCAGTGCATGAAACAGTCGATGGACATGATGTTTCTATGTTTTTCTTAATATTATCTATAAGCTCGAAACCTCGTACTGTTTGATTTGGTCCAGCACTTCTTTCCGATTGCTTAGACTTTGTTGACTTTATGAGTATGGATGCATCACAACCCTGAAATTCAGTTTTACATTACGTAAACCAACACAATTAGATGCAATTTTTTTAATTAAGTATCTTGATATAAAATAGAAAATATAATCTAATAATTAAAATTACGAGCAATAGAAATGATGTTGATAAAATATATTTTTCCTCTCCAGGTGATAGTGCCTTTAACAATAAAATGGATATACGAGATATTGCTCTCTGCGCATTAACTCTGGAATAATGCTTGCATAGTAGAGGTACTATTTTGTACGGGATGTTATTCGTGATCCCCTGACCTTTAAAACACAAAATTAAAGAAAAAAGATAAAACAAAATTAAAGAAAAAGGATGGTTGGGGATTTGATCCCCTGACCTTAAGGCTATTGGAAATAAGAGATCAAAACCAATGTACCTCTTTATCTCTTTTGACCTTGGGTTCCATCAAGTATCTATATCTATTTTTATCAAATTATGTACATTATATCTATATACTTTAACCCGAGGACCACGGTTCACGTGAACCATTTTTTAGACTGTAGATCCGCCACTGTTTTGTATGCCGTAAATACATTTTTTTCTACCACGATATGTATGTATAGACACATAGACATTGTTTAAAAATAATATAAAGTAAATTGATAAATGAGAAAAAGTGCATGTTTTAAAGTACATTTTAGTATCATTTCTTGTGTGAGAAATATTCTCATTATGTGTTTCTTATATGTAAGAATGAGCTTGTGCGGAAAAAACTTTTGTATTACAACCGCTGAAGTTGAATGATCATTGATGTAAATGCAATTCCGACAATATAAGAGCCCGCCATAATAATAAACAACTTATAATATTTAAAAATATTTGCAAAAAACATGATAAAAAAAAAAAAACCTTATTTGATTTTTTATATAGTAAAAGATTCACTCTATTTCTAAACGGAATAGTTAGAGAAGAAAAAGTAGAACTTGAAGTAGTACACTTACTCTCACAAAGCAGTCATGAAAATGCATGCGAAGCAGAGCTGCAGTGATGGAACGGTCGCTATTAAACTGCTTTTGCACAGCTTGTCGAACAATAGTTTCAGCTTGTGGACAGGTAGAATTGTAAAAGCCAACTCGAAGTTGAGCTGAAACTAAATGAAAAACACAACAGAGAAATATTAATGGTAATATCATTTTCACAGAACAGAAGGATGTTTCTGAGAGAGTTTTCTACAAATTGAAGACAGCCTGTACAGTGTATTCTGGGTTTTCCCTACTAGCTAGTGATGAAGCTGATCAATGCCATTCAAATTCAAGAATTATATATAGGTGCAGGAGAAGGGGGTTCTGACGCTGGCCACAAGCATCGTCAACGAACACCTAGTGGGCATGTCAAAAATAGTTTATTCGGTTCGCATTCTCATACGCGTTAATGCACAAACGGCTAAATGCATCCAAGTGGCTTCTTACGTAACCTCTTAGGGGCGGTAGGATGCATTAGGGAAAATAATTCATGCATTAATTGTTGGTATTACTAATTTTCTTTGTTTGGTAGTACATTTTTTCAACTTATGTATTATTACTGCAAGTATTAGTTATACAACTTATTTGGTATTATTCTATGTGTAACTAATGCATAATAAATCACGGTATTAAAAATATCAAAGCTATTAGTGCATGCATTAGCAGTTAAAGACAAAATTATCCTTAAAGTCCCTTAAAAATTATTGACGTCATGATCATAAACGACTAATTTTCTTAAAAATTATGCTATGCATTTAAATTTTTAATACACTACACCAAATAGTGGATTATATATATAATCTATGCATAACTAATGCTTGCATTATTAACCCCTACATCACTAATTTATGCATTAATTACTAATACACTTTATTCAACATTAATTATTCTTATACACTCCACCAAATTACCCCTTGCTGATCTTCTTTGACTGTACATATGTTATACTCTCCCCCATTCCACTTTATGTGGCACGACTATTGGATTATGAAGGTTAAAATTTTTAATTTTGATCGTGAAATTAGACAGATATTCTTTAAAATTTTTAAAATAAAATTTAATATTTGAAAACCATATAAAATATATTATAAGTCATAATAATTTATAATTTAAAATATTTTTAAATATTTTTAAAAAATATGATGAACAATCTTGTAAACTATCCAAATAGTAATATTGACTTAAGTTGCGCGGACTCTTCGATTTTGGTGCCGTCCCCGTCCCGATACGAGACAGGGACGGGAGCGGGAGCGGGAGCGGGATACGTCCCGGATTCGGTCAACTAACTTCGGACACTTTGACCGGAGTCCATCAACAAATTTGGGAGAAAAATTGAGATTTTAATTTCTCAAAATAAAAAATAAAACAACTTTAGGAGAATGAAAGAATAATGTCCATCAATGAAAGATTGAAGTCTAAATATTCATGTGAGTTTTTCTCAGAAAATATCACTCAAAATTTACAATATTTTTATAACTCTATTTTTTGTTAGCCGAATCCCCACACCCGTTCCATATCCAGATCCGCATCCCCGAATCTTAAAATTTAGATTTTGCCGAATTCAATACTTGAATCCGTCCCCATATCGGATATCTGCACCGAGTTCGAGCAACTTAGATATTAACACATAAATTAGAACAGAGAAGATAGTAATTTAATGAGTTTGAGAATTTAAATAATAACCACAACTTCACCTATTTTAGGACGATGATTAGAGCGGTGATTATTTTACGGTTGTATATTTGTGGAAATGACGCCCCCATAAATAATGCAAACATCATTTTTAAGCCTGCTAGTTGGAGATTCTTTTACTTTTAAATTGATGTGTATTTTCTTCTTTGTCAAGCTATATATGCTTTTATAGAATATTTCTCAATCGCTCTTTCCACAAGAGAGATAGACTTCTAAGACCAGAATACATATTTATTTTTTCCCATTTTTTATTTTATCTTTTTCTTCCTCATTTTTCATTTTAGTTTAGAAAACTCTAAAATCTTTAAATACAATTACTCAGCTATTTTTATTCTCCTATAATTGTTTATTTATTGGTCTATTGACATCCATTAATGTGCTATCTTCTCTCGTTTCAAACTTTCGCCCATAATTTTTAGGGGAGGAGGTGTGACACCTCTCCTTGGACTATAATACCTATTTTTTTCTTTTTTCTCTTGTGCCTCTCATTTTCAATTTATCTTATTTTTAAAAGCCAAAAAGTCTCAAAATACAGTATATCAACTTAATTATTTACCTTGCTTTTTCTTCTTTTCAGTATTTTCATTAGCAATTTGTACATAACATAGGAAGAGAAGCATTTTGCTCTCTGTTGAGTATCAAGTTCTACTCACAGTTAGCCGAGCTTAAATTCACATGTAGGTATTGTTGTTCTTGCTTTTATTACTTTATTCTTTTGAATAAGTTATATGAATTTTCTTGGTCACAAGTTCTCTTAAGAGACTAGATGAAGATATTATTATTATTATTATTAGTACTACTACTACTACTACTAAGTATTCGTATTTAATTATAATTTAATCAATCTATTAAGTTAATTTTGTGTATGTGTGTGCGTTGATCACGCCCAACTATGCCTTATAAAAAGGACAATGCGGTCGTTGCAAATATAATCCGGTTTACAAGTCCGGAGTCGAATCCCACAGAGAACTAAGGTTTAGCTACAACTGTTCACTATCACCAAGAAGACAAGCTTGAACAATTCCTAACTTATAGATATTAACATTCTTGTGTTTAACTAATTAACTAATAAATTAAAATAGTAAATTAACAACTAACAATATTGAGGGTTAGAGAAAAGATTAAGGAGGTCTAGAGTTATGATTTCCCCTATTGTCGGAATCCTTCCCGCTATGTCTTCTATAATTTCGCCTAAGTATTCTCTACCGATCATGAGCACTCTTATTGCCGTAAATCTCTCCGGAGTAATTACGACAATTTACTAGACGCACTCTCCCGAGCTACGCTAGCTGGCTTTTAATACAACTCACTTCAGATCGCACCCAAGGCTTCGTTATCCCTAATCCCACCTTTAAACCCTCGGTTATTGATCCCTCATATACTCTGGGAGTGGTGTTGTTCAACAATTACCTAAATATGCACTCTCTCCCGAGTTATGCATACTAAATAGGCACAGCTAATTGAGAGCTCTTCAATCAACCAGAATATAAACGTAGTTGAACAAATAGAGAAAAGCTATGGCTCAATTATATAAAAACATAACAAGAATTTATCCTACAAAA